CAACAACACAGGAAGAGACTGCCTTGTCTTTTTCCACAAAGCATCTGGTGAATCCAAACCCTTGACCTCTCATTTGGCAGTAGCCTAACACATAACTATGTCACTAGGGCCCCTTTATTATTATAGCTGCTGAAATTTTTCCTCCTACTCCTCTCCTTCCTGGCATCTCCTGCCACCATTACGTTGTAATTTCAAGGGTATCTATGTGTCTTAAATGTATACTATCTTTAGCACTTACATACAAGGTTGTCACTTGGAATATCAAGGAGTAATTGGAAAATGAAATTGCTTTGTGATATTAGGGAGAAAATAATATTTTAGAAATCTAAAAACTGCTTGTAAAAATGTTTTTAGATCCAGAATGTGTGCATGGTCCAATATGAAAACAGACTCAAGAGAAAAATGCTGTCTCTTATCTCTGATGCAACCAGAAGGAAAGAGGTGAGTGAAGTCTATCTGAGGCAATGTGAAGAAAAAAGAAAATTTACTGAAGACAAACTGAGGAATCTTCGTGTAAAGCTTGCAGTATTGCTTCAGAAACTTCACCTGGTAAGAGATGAATTTATATGTGGGTACTCTATAGAAGACTTCTATTCCTGATCCTCATTCACTGATTGATATCGGATTAATCATTTAACCCAGCTCTTACTCTTCATGTAATAATCATAAAATGAATTATCATTGAATGTTTGAATGAAGGAATATCTTAAAAATATTTCTTTTTTCCTTAGAAAACTTTAATCTTACCTTATGCTATAGCTCTTAGATTATGATCATTATCATGATCTCTATAACAGCATACTTCCAGTAAAAAGAAATGGTGCTTCTAGTTTCTGAAAACAGTAAAATATTTTCATTTTTTCTTATTATAACTTATAAATATATCTCATACTCATTCTCTTATCTCCTTGCTATTAATTTGGAATTGATTCTCATAGCTGATGTTCCATAGAGTTTTCAAGGCTGTGAATTACACAGGAGAACACTGCCCATTTCTCTCCCTAAGAATTACAAGTGGATTTGAAACACAGGGAAGTGCAGCCTTTGAGTTAGCAGTACAGTTACCATGGATTAAGCCACCAGAGCACCATTAATAGAAATTGTTGTTAAGTGTCATCGATCTGACTATGATCATAGTGACCTGTCTTTTCTCCATCTATCATGATGTTACCTAGCAGTCTAGTCCTAAGAATCTTTGTTTTCTGAACACTAAGATACAATCCAGTAAAGGCTGTATTCTTTGATCTTCTGCAACAAGTGCTTCAAGTCCTCCTCACTTAAAGCAGGCAAGGTTGTGTCATCTGCATGATGAGTCTCTCTCTGATCCTGATGCCACATTCCTCTTCA